GACATGCTGCTACTATTAAATGAGATTTGTCTAGAAGTTCTTTTCTCTTTCTAAAAATAGTATATTGTCATATATTTCTGATATCAGACATCTAGGGACAAGGATTTTCCGTTTCAAAAAATTGCCTTTTTCGTTTGGGGAAATCATGAATTCCAAGGGTAGAAATTAACTTTTGAACACGGGAGTCCAACCCTCTTTCTCTACCCTCAAAAAGAGGGAGTCCGCAGCAAAATGAGGGAGTCCGCAGTCTGAGGTTCAAAATTAAAAATATTAACAATAACAATATAACAACAACAACTAATAATATGTGCTTATTTTTAAGATTCATGCGATTGCACGTCTGCCAAATTTTCTTTGGACATTAGCTGAAAAAATACGGTAATTCCGCGAGGCCGTGCTCTGGAATAAACTAATTAGTATGGCAGAATTTTCAGAGAGTCACACGGACTCCTGCATATATGTCAAATCAGGGAGTCTGACAGTAAATCAGGGAGTCTGACAGTAAATCAGGGAGTCTGACAGTAAATCAGGGAGTATTTGACTCCGGACTCCCGTTAATTTCGCACAACGGAAATTCCGTTTTGCCATAGATGATAGATTGTACAGACCAAAAATGCAAAATTCCCTTTACGTATATTTGCATGGAAAAAAAAGGTATTTGGTATACCGAAACACTGGGCTACCAAAAGTCGTAATTGTCAGTCATTTCGCTCTGAAACTTGTCTGAATGTAAACCATATCATTACCAATGCTATTGTCGACGGTTTTTTGTGTGATTTTATTGAAATTTCCATGTTGTAATATGTTCAAATTACGTTTTCCGCGTTTTTCCGTTTGAAAATGTCTTTTCCGTTTCCATGTTTTCCGTCCGTTTTCCGCGATCGTGGGAAATCACTGTCCCTAGACATCCACTTTTATTATTAGATATCGCAGGTAAACCCATAGCTGCCACGACTCTGCACGACCTGTGCTGCCCCCTGAAATCTGATATCCCAACCTTTTTTTATTTTATGATGCACATATTAGACCGTAAACTAATCACCCAAAAGTAATTACATTAATACCCAAATACTATTTATCTGAAAAACCATTTTTATGATAAATACAGGGTTCTCCAAGAGCCCTTATAGCCTGGCAGCCCGCCAGGCTATCGTCGAGCCCCGCCATCCTAAAATGCACCCGCCACTCTAAATATCATAGCCGCCATGCTGGTGTATACACAAGAATTTCAAACAATTAATACATGTTGTTTATACGCAGAGGCTACGGGTATGGCAGACGTATCTTAATGTCTCGAGACTACGGGTACGGCAGTCACACTACGCATGCGCTGCAGACGTATCTTAATGTCTCGAGGCTACGGGTAAGGCAGTCCCACACACAAGTACAAACAGTTACCCTATCCCTAACCCTAACACTAACACTAACTCTAAACTGACTCGGCTATCGTATATACGCGTGTTTTAGTACCCAATTAATCTATCGTGATTGGTGTATAACCTTTTGCTTTCAATATTTTGCATCTGAACTGACAATCAATCGCAACCAACTGGTGTAGGCTAGCTCTAGTTGGCACAATAATGTTCATTTTCATACTTCAAATCAGAGTGTTTTCTAGCTCATCAAGAAATCTTTATCGTGAATTAAATCGTGAATTAATTTCCAACGGCATTATTACGGGGCAGGTAACCCAGTCTAACACGAGGTAGAGTAGACTGGTACACTTACCGACCACTCCTGCCATTGTCAATGATGACACGGAACAAAGAGTCTAAACGATATAAGAAGATTTACAGTACCAGTATAGTTGGTATGTATATGCAGTTGGAAATAAGACAAAAATTCCATCCGGTCATGATTAAAAAAATGTCTAAATTCGCAATATAAGCTACAGTAATTTTCTTGAAAATTAGCCAGTCCTGCTCCAAAAGTAGCCAGCCCTGCTGAAAAGGTTTAGGGTTGATGGGACCAGCTGCTATTTCCAACACTGGTATATGTCAGGTTTTCTGATTTATGCGAGGTGAACTCATTATTATTTTCAATTTTCCGATGGCTTTGCCCATGCAAAACAAACATTTTCACCCCACATGCAGTGCTTCAAATTTACACACACAGTGTCCCAGATTGCATCTCAGAGCTTCTACAATTCAAAAATGTTGTGAGCAGCAACCCCATGCTATAATGAAAAAGCTTGGAGAACCCTGAAATACACACACCATCTAAATAAACTTATCAGGAAAATATAAAAGACTCTAATCCTTCTTTTAATTTAATAAGTAAGAAACACTCTCGGGCTGTGGCGTGCGGCTGAAAACTGGTTTTGCTACATATGTGCAGTACAAACACAGAGCTCTTGATCATCTGAGCATGATCATTGCTTTTGGCATGTGCCATCTTCTAAGGATCCTTTAAAATTTAGCTTCTTTGTTTCTGTCATTCCGTATTGGAATTCTCTCTCTTTGCCTATAGTAAATTGGGAATTGGCTGCTTTTTCCACTGCGATCCGCAGTGTTCATCTGTCTATTTGATCAACTTGTCTCTCCCGGTCCGTCTTTGTTATAGTCCCTCAAACTTGTAAAGACTATTATTTATGAGGTTATGAGGTTATAATCGGAACCTTCAAAGTACGCGTAGCGTGGTCGAGTTAGTATAGCTTTAATGAGGTGTAGCCATAGGGGCCTGTACCGTAGTGATTTGGACGCTCGTAGTATTTGGACGCTCCGTAGGCATGCTATTTTGTTTTGCTCTTGTTTTCTTTTTGTTTGAATCTTATTTTGCACGGCCGTAGGAAATAGTAGCCGTGCTCTTGTTTTCTTTTTGGTTCGCCTTGTAACCTGACACACATAACACAGTCTTACTAATTTACTACATATTGCAAATTGTTTCAATCAAATGTTTCCATCAGTGACCGGGAAGTCCGCCGTGTTTGTTTATTACGACCGTTTCGATAGGCAAGATGCGCAGATGACTACTGCGCATGGTGCGCATGCGCTGTGTGCGCCCTTGCAAAACAAGAGGCGCCTGCGCGCATACGCCCTTAGGAGCGTCCAGTTTCGGGCGAGCGTCCAAATACTACGGTACAGGCCTACAACAGATACGTATTACTCATGACGAAAATGTTGCTGCCGTAGTGCACAACGCTGTGTTGTTGCAGAGCAAGGAAGATCTAAGAGCAAAATCACACGGTTAAGCACTATAATATACTGTTTGGCAATCTAAAGTTTGTCACGGCATCAATCGACATCTACGTCATTAAATTAGCCGCATGTAGTGGCTAGCGTAAATTTGTTTTGAATGTATATGCTCAATGTTAATTTGAATTAGCACTGTAAGAAACCTTACCATATAAATTCCGAGCTTAAACTGTCCCTGTAAAATTTACATGTTTCAGTTAATCTGCACAGCGACTTTATATCGCAGTAAAGATATATCTTTGCGAGTAATTCAGATGGTAATCGTGATATTTCACACTTGGACACCTCACTGGTGTCCATGCTGGATCGCGCGAGTTCACGCGAGATTGGTTGTCAGTGAAAACATTAGGAGTGTGTGTGATTTCTTGAAACGTACCCGTTTAATACTGTGATCAAAAAGTCTCTCCTTTACAATGGACGATTTCCAAACGGGAGAAGAGGTAGTAGGGCATAACTATCACAAAAAATCAATTTAGTGTTAAATGTAGGCCTATACATTCCGTAAGGCTTGATCCTTCTGTAGACTATAGTGTGGACTGTGGCCTAGCCTTAGGCCGTACACTGCCACTGGCGCACGAAGGGTCGTTGTCGTATATAATCATAATAATGGCGTATAATATGTACCCGAGGTAACTATTTGATATGGTTAGGGTTAGGGTGTTAGGGAGTAGGCGTAGACGACATACTTGCCGACACCTCGGGTACTATACTATACTCGGGTACATATACGACAACGACCTCTTCAGCGACACTGGCAGAGGCACTGGCGCTGCCACTGCCCGGCTACACAGCCTAGTACAGTCTACACTGCTACTAGTGCTACTCGTCGTCGTAATCGGACTACTAGGCTAAGCTGTATAGTGTGTATTTATATGATAATGTATATAATGTATTATCAACCCACCAGCACCACCTATTTCACCTGTCTCAATATTACATGATGAAATGATACTGAATAAACACTAATTGTATTTACTACCACTCAGTACCAGAGCCTGACTGTTTATGTACTTTATTTTGCTTAATAATTCCACAAAACAGCATTCAAATAGTGTTTTACAGTACTTCTTTTCCGCAGCACTGCATCGCACACAAACCAACTAGATCAGGTTGAAAAGAGTGAGCACAAATTTTGCAAACCACTGGTATAATTTACAAATATTAGTAATAAGCACAAGTCCTCAACCAATCGAGCACATCCATATCTGGGCGTAATCGAGTCTTCTCTTGTTTGAATTAGCACCCTCTTAAAATTACACAGTGAAATCTCACAAAATCCTGCAAAAAAAGTCTGTCTCTGTGACAGTGTGCATGGAGGCAATTTGTATTTAATTTCCAACAATTTTTACCAGGCACTATACTCAATTGTTTGACCAATAAACGTAGTCACATCACACGTCAGGGCTCGAATTAACCGACGGCACCAACGGCAATTGCCGTCGGTGCCCCTATCAATCGCCGTACTGCCCCTGAAAATCCAACCCGACCGACGGCAGTGACCTGCCTTGCTCTTTTCTGTAATTGCCGTCGGTATCTCTGGCTTGACTGGTTCGCGGCCACACTGTTTGTCGCAGAGCGTGTACATTGTTTAGCAGAGCGTGAGGCCGGTACCAGTCTACCCTTCGGCAAAAACAATAACGTGGTATTGCTGAACAACGCCTGCCAGTAGCACGATGTAAATCGTACACCTGTGTATGGCCGCTGGTTAGAACACGAATAATTTAAATGCTGCACGCCCGGACTCGGCCCGCCGGCGCCCGATTTGAAAGCGCCTGGGAAACGAACTTCGCCGCAAGAATGGCCAGTGATCTGTTTCTACGGTGTGGTAGCTTGCTTAAGTTGCAGTAATTTAGATTGTAAAGTTTGGCATAACAATGGCTTTGCGTGCCTCTCAAATCCCTGCTGAGAGTTGCCTGATGCTTTTAAATTGCCTCGGCTGCTAATCACTTTAAGAAAATTTCAAGGCAATTTCTCACATGCCCCCAACAAATTGCCTTGCCTCTCGTCGCTTAATTCGAAGGCCTTGTCAACGGTGTGCCAGCATCATTATATGTTTGCCATAAGCTCAACCTGCTAGGATGATGCTTATAGTGGCGTAGCTCATCATGGCAGCCCTAGAAAGCGGGGTGCATATTAACCCAGAATTTGCAGTATGTATCAGCAGGGAAAAAAGTTATTTTATTGGGGCGCTTACTTTTCAAGCTCGCGCGGCAATTTGAAAATAGCACTCCTAAAATTGGTTTGCATGGAACTCTAGATGCAAATTTACGGTGCCTACTGTTTTGGAATATTCAGCGGCTCTTTGTGCATTTCCATGGGCTCTTTTTGGCAATTTCGGGTCTCTTCTTTTGGCCATCTTCGGGGCTAAATCGCCCGCAAGCCCCCGTGTGTGTTTTTAAACAGTATGATGTCTTTATCGATGACTTGCGTGGAACTAAGGAAAAGCCTCAATTGACAATTAGAGTTTCATGAACAGTCGTCTTGCTTACAATGAAGCTGCCGTGCTTAAAGCGAAGATATTGAATGCATTTGAATGGCAATTCTTACGGTGTATAAAGTACATTGTATAAACATTCTCAACTTGAGTAGAAAATATAATTTGTGTTTATCTACCATCATTTTGTTATTGAGACTGCCCAAGTGCATTTGTTTACTTTGTTGGTAATTGATCTTCTTCCTTCGCATTATTAGTCGCACTCAGGTGGGTTCGCTACATGTTGTGTCCACCTCGTAGCATTCGGCTAGATTTTCAAGGCCAGATGCCTTTTCTGACGCCAATTAACCCTCCTCTTTTTTCCGGGCTTGGGACCGGCACCAGTTGTGAGCTAGTTTGCTTGCCCCAGTGGCAGAATTATTGATAATTGATATTATCAGTCAAATTAAATGTGTATCATCATTCATCGATGAAATTTTGCACAGGGGAGAGATAGTGATCCGCTAGGGGACGACTGTGATTGGCTAATTTTGTCTCTTATTTATTTTATTTTTTATTATTTTTGGCTAATTTTGTTTTATTTTAGAATTAGGGATAGAGTTAGGGTTAGGATTAGGGTTAGGGTCAGGGTTAGGGTTAGGGTTAACTGATTTCTATATCCACAACATTTCTATATTCACTATCTCTCCCCTGAGATCTACTATTCATCAATACAAGTGAAATGTGTTCTTTCTTCTTTTTTTCCCCAAAAGTGCAACTGAATGAGAATCTTGCATAACCTAATAAATGTTACACCTGCACTATAATTTATTAGTCTGTATAAAGCCCGCCGCACAAGCTGTGGAACTTGCTGAGCCATTGTTCACACGTGGACGATGGTGCAGCAAGTTCCACAGCGTGTGCGCATGCAAAATCTGTCAATCTGGGTCGTGTGGAAAATATCACACGTGCTTGCTATTTTCTTCCACGTGTGGAAGATTGAACAGCATGAGCGGAGTGGCTGTGTCAATTTCCACACTTAATTCGCTTTGTTCTTGATTGTTCGCTTGGACGCATTGTATTTGTTTCTCAGCTCGCATAGAGGCATGTCCAAGAACTGATCGATCAAACGTCGTGGGAATGCTCTCTTTAACGACGCTCCGTGTCCAAGCGAACAATCAAGAACAATGCAAATTGAGTGCGGAAATTGACACAGCCACTCCGCACATGCTGTTCAATCTTCCACACGTGGAAGATAATAGCAAGCACGTGTGATATTTTCCACACGACCCAGATCGAGGGATTTTGCATGCGCACACGCTGTGGAACTTGCTGCGCCATCGTCCACGTGTGGACAATGGCGCAGCAAGTTTCACAGCGTGTGCGGCGGGCTTAAGAGTAAGATTCAGTGTGTATAGTGTTTTGTAAATTTTATAATGTGAAATATATATGAATGCTGATGATGATTGTTTTTTTGCAGACTGCTTTTGTAGTGGATGAGGTCAGCAATATTGTTAAGGAGGTACGACATAATTAGACAGTGTATAATTAATTAATTAATATTTATATACATACATATGCATATACAATAGTCCTGGTAGGCAGAAAGCAAAAATTCCGAACTCGATATTTTGATTTATTCTTTATAATTATATAGGTCATTATACCAATGCACCCATAACTAATAATGTTTACATAAATGAAATGTGTGACTATATACCAGTAACCAATACTATACCAAGGATAACTACACAAAAAGCATGATAATTACCATTTGCTCATTGTATGCTTTTGTAAAAGTAGGCTTGCATGCTTTAATTTCAGTCGGTTGAGAACACGATCGGAGGCAACGCATACCAACATAACAAGGTTAACCAGTGGACATCTAACATCGTAGAACAGGCACTAAACTCGCTCACGAAACTCAGCAAACCATTCAAATACATCGGTGAGTGGGCATGGGCTTCTGTAAACATGGACTTGTTCACCACTGTTCCTCGAACTAATGATATATAGCTGATTGTTGAGTCAGATCACTGATCCGGGTCATGATCGAATAGATCCTGCAGGTGAGGCAGATCACGACAGATCCAATATGGCGGCACGGTGAATCAGCCAATCAGCACATGCTGCTCGTTATTAAACATCTAGTGATAGGTAACTATGTCGGGTGATCCATTTGCATTTATTTTCTCATGTACATATAAAACATGTATATATATATATGTATGCATATATTCTCATGTATATTATGTACATATGTATGTATATTCAAAACAATTTTAGCTAAAACGAGTGTCATTATTAGGTTATCATAATACGATAAATCAAGTACTATAAGATAAAATATGTAGTGAAAGTCAAGATAAGATAAGCGTAAAGCCTGGCGCACAAGTGAGTAATTTTACTCAAGTAAAATGATGCATGCGTCAAAATACTCAACGAAAATTCGCCGCACACGTGAGTATTTTGACGCATGCATTATTTTACTTGAGTAAAATTACTCACGTGTGCACTGGGCTTAAGGAAGATCGTGTGATTTTAATTAAAGGAATCTGACCATAACGATGCTAATAGACCAGTAGCTCTCGCATAGCAAGTTGTTTGTGATGTTGTCCAGTAGATTGCGCCACCATCTATTTCCATACTGCTGTTGTTGATACATCTCCGCCTCTTTCTCTCGAGTGCGCTGATCCTTGTGGTGAATTTCGTTCATGTCCCATTATAAACTACTGCTTGTCGCGCCTTAACGCCGGGGGGGGGGGGCGGCAGTAGGGGGTCTTTGACGTGACATAGACTGACGTCTCTGGGCTACCTGTTTGCTAATCGCCTTCTCTTCCTGCAGTGACGGCTGTGATCATGCAAAAGAACGGCGCCGGACTACACACGGCCAGCTCCTGCTACTGGGACAACAGCACCGACGGTAAGCGCCCCCTAGTGTCTCAGATAATGACTTTTTCGCCGTTTTGGGAGCGGCAGTCGATGCTAGTAGCAGAGATGCCAACCACTACGATTTATCCGTATTTTATGTGAATTTCGTTTACATTATGACCACTACGACCAGTTTGCGGAAAAAAATCATTTTTATGATATTTCAAGTGTTTTGTTTCAGTGTTACATTGATATAATATGATTAAAAATAACTACATGTATTTAACAGCAAATATCAGTGTGAACTTATTATCATTTTGGGTCCCAGAATGCAGGAAATTGCATCTCGGAATCAAAAAATTTCCGGGGGGGCATGCCCCGAACCCCTTCTAGCATACTCGGGTCACTGCGTGACCCTCGCACTACAGATTTCAGACATCCTCACTACAGTTTGCTCAGAAAAGTGTTGGCATCTCTGTAGTAGCATTGCTACACGTTCACAGGAGAATCGGTGTCCGAGATAGGAATTGCTGACTGGAAGTGGCCTCCCTTCCTGGATGCATCTTGTTGTTAACACTCTGACTGCCAAAGACGGAGATTTCCGCCTTTGGTTAAAAATCGCTCGACTGCCAAAGACGGAAATTTCCGTCAATCGGGTTTTATTTCACAACACGAAAGATTAGTTCATAAAGTATCCGCTAGATGTCACGGAATCAGTCCCTCATCAACCAGTCGTGTGGTTTTCACTATTGAAACAACGTTGACCTTTGTCACGCTCAGTAGTAGCTGTGAGATGGATCGCTGTATTCGATATAGACAGGCTGAAGCACTGGCCGAGATTTTTGCGGATTTTGATTCTGAGGATGATTATTTGGTATCTAGATGTTATTATAGTTATGTTAGTTAGATGTTATTTGGTATCTAGAATATATGTTTAGCTCATAGGAATAAAGAAATATGCCACCTGGTAGTGAAATTGACTCTAGAGATTTTTCAAACTGGTTTTTCTCCACTTTTTAGTGAATTTCAACCAAAAGTCGAAAATACTTGTATTTTTGAGATTGAAGAGGATTATCTTATCTTTCTTATATCAATAACCATTTGGTATCATTAGAAAGTTTGAGTCTTGTTCTTCCATATATGCTATATATAACGAGGTTATTTGCCTATTGAATATTTATCTCAATTTTGTTAGAAATAATCGAAAAAGGCAGAAAACCTCTGGTGGTGGCAATTAATTTCTTGCATAAGGTCTGGCAGTCAAAGTGTTACGCTTGTGAATCTTGAGCTGCCTTAGATTGTTACGCTGGACTTTGCTGTATTTATAACTAACGCTCGTAGGGTCTATGTCCCCCAGGGTACTGCCGGAACGTACCCTGAGTACGGTCCGGTATACCGGAACGTACCCTGGTAACTATTTGATATGGTTAGGGTTAGGGTTAGGGTTACGGTTAGGGTTAGAGAGTAGGCGTAGGCGACTCCCTAGACTCGTTAGTGGAGTAGGCGAGGTACGGTCCGGCATATTAGATAGTACCAGGGTACGTTCCGATATATCGAACCGTACCCAGGGTACCCTGGGGGACATAGACCATATCAGCTAATCTTTCCGTAAGTTTTAACAAGTTTTGGCGAAAAAGGGAAAACGTCATTTTTAAGCGTGTAAAGCAAAATATGGTTGATATTTAATTCCCCTGGATGCATCTGTAAGCATTATGTACAACGCAATAAAAAAAATGGGAAAAGGGTTAGGGTCAGTAACATTTTTACTCGGTCGATCGTGCAAGCTGACAATTGTCTAGGAAGGGCTGATATGGTAGTAGAGTGTAAACTATGGTGGGATGTGTTTTTGTTTTAGTGCATGTATATTGCATGGTACGGATGCACTGACCGTTGCCATGGTTTTGTCTTGCAGGCAGCTGCACTGTCAGGTGGGAGAACAAGACAATGTACTGCATCGTCAGTGTGTTCGGTCTCGCCATCTAGTGGTGAAGAATGGAAACTTTTCATCAACTCCTCCCTCCCCAGCCAGAAAGCACATTTTTTCAGACTGATATTGCTTAAATCTATCTATTATCTCCATACATCTGGTAATGTCTAATATCTTCATACATCTGATAATGTCTGGCTGGTATCTACTATTAGTATTATCTAATGATGTCTGAAACCTTTAGTAACCTATTATCTGCATACATCTGATAATGTCTGATATCTACATTAATATGATAATGTCTAATATCTTCATACATCTGATAATGTTTGGCTGGTATCTACAATTATCTAATGATGGTGTCTGAAACCTTTAGTAACCTATTATCTGCATACATCTGATAATGTCTGATAACTAAGTGCACACGTTATCTACATACATCTCATATCCTAATGTGTTTCATATCTTCACACATCTGCTATCTGTATCAGTGTGCATCTCCTGCACACGTCTGCTATCCATTCATTAATAATCTGGACATGAGTGTTATATATTATATATATATATATATATATATCCGGGATATTTTAATACCACGCTGCGATCTGCTCTCTCCGTGTTGTGTTTTCCGCGACTCACTGACCTACTTAGCGCCTACCGCCGCCGCCGCTGCAGACAAGCGCCGGAATCGCATATAACAGCCGCCACTCGAGGCGAAAACGTACCTCCTGCCCCGCGGCGTGAAATATTCGGAGAGCGTACCCTGGCGAAGCGACTTGCGTCCAACGCACGCGAGGCACGTACACTCTAACCCGGAACTCACTGCGACTCACTGTCGCCTCTCTCCGTCGTGTGATTTCAAGAAATTAAATTCATTTGGGAATGCGGGTATGGAGATTGGTGGCAAGTGCGAAGGAGCTACACTGCAGGGAAGGAGGGAACAGGAGGGAAGCATTATGTGTGGCAGTTGTGGGGGACAGAAAGTAGCAAAAGGGGGAAGAAGAGGAGGAGCTAACGGGGAAGGAAATTCTGCATTGCCTGCTCTTGTTTGTTCCCCATTTCTTTCTCTGTGCGTCGCTTGGTAAGGCCAAAACAAAATATAGGTGTGGTTACGGTTTCCCGACCGACCCTATTTATTGCCAGCGACCCTAAACATTTTATTGTCAGTTTTCTTTAAAATATAAAAAAAATATAAAAAAATATAAAATTTATGAATTGGACAGTTCCTGCTTCAAAAGACACAACGCACATCCTTCGGAAATGGTTCGTAAATAAAATATTTCAAGAAAATAAAATGTTTTCCCTACCTACCTACCCTATTTTCGGCATGTAACCGTAACCACACATATATTTTGTTTTGGCCTAATGAAGTTTTGATGGTACTGCTCGTTGTCATGATCACAATCTCACATAATTATCATCCAGGGCTATCGGCAGGTTGTGTGAGGTGTTAGCGGTTGTGGCGTATAGACAAGTCTGCAGGCCTTGGTGTGAAGTCTCACTTAGGCAGGCGGGGCTGGCCAGGTGTGTGTGGTGGTGCGGTGAATCTGGGGCAGTATCGCACACGTGGAGAGAAATATACGGGAGTGTTGAGTTGATGCGTCACTTGTAAAGGCGCGTTGAATTCTGAACGATATGGAGCATATCTCTCTCCCGCTCGCTCTCTCTCTCTCTCTCTCTCTCTCTCTCTCTCTCTCTCTCTCTCTCTCCCGCTCTCTCTCGCTCGCGCTTGCTCTCTCGCTCTCTCTCTCTCTCTCTCTCTCTTTCGCCTTCTCTCGCTCTCTCTCTCTCGCTCTCTTGCTCTCTCGCTCTCTCTCTCTCTCTCTCTCTCGCTCTTGCTCTCTCTCTCTCTCTCTCTCTCTCTCTCTCTCTCTCTCTCTCTCTCTCTCTCTCTCTCCCTCTCTCTCTCTCGCTCTCTGCTCTTGCTCTCTCTCTCTTTTTCTCTCTTTCTCTCTCTCTCTCTCTCTCTCTCGCTCTCTCTCTCTCTCGCTCTCGCGCGCGCGCGCGCTCTCTCTCTCTCTCTCTCTCTCTCTCTCTCTCTCTCTCTCTCTCTCTCTCTCTCTCTCTCTCTCTCTCGCTTACTCTCGATCGGTCG